GGCCTCCAACCTACTAGCGATGGCCTCCAACCTAATAGGGATGGCCTCCAGCCTAATAGCGATGGCCTCCAGCCTAATAGCGATGGCCGACCTAAGAGCGATGAGCTCCAGCCTAATAGCAATGGCCTCCACCTACTAGTGATGGCCTCCAACCTAATAGGGATGGCCTAACACCAATGATATCGAAACAAAACCCTCTGAAATGTCCAACTTCAACCCATGCCACGGCTCTCTCTCTCTCTCTCTCTCTCTCCCCCGCATCCCCCGCGGTTTCACGGTGTCTCAGTCTCCAGCCTCCAGCTTGCATCACCTTGCTCGCCTGTACCTCGGGTCCGCAAGGTGCACATGTAGATGTTAAATGTTGGGAAAGGGTTGATAGTAGGAATAGTGGGACGTAGTGTTGTAGTAAATACCAGGGATGTAGTGTTGTAGTGATATGGACTTTCATAAGTTTAGGATCTACACTAGTGGTTTACTTATGCAAAGCACTCTAGCATACTCTAGCTCAAATAGCTGGTAACCAAGTGGTTCCACTGACTAAAGACCATAGATCTATAGAAGCCTTGGTTTCTCATATGAGCGGTGGACAAAACTTCTTGGTGTCCCCAATACTGTATTTTAGGAAGTTGGCTACTAATGGGCTTCCAGTGTTTTGCAAAACTATCGTCGCCACGTTCAAGAAAGAAAGGGGTATCGATCGAGGCAGAAAGCGCCTAGGGTTAGACCCAATTCAGAACTACTTCAGGCGGCTCATGACTCAAGTACATCCTACGAAAGTGTAGGACCCAAATGGACCCTTTAGGGGACCAACAGCTCCAACTCACCTCAGGATAGGATTGGTCGTGCATTGAATCGCTTCAATCGCTTCACACTCCTTGGGATGCTTCGACCTTTTCGGGATGTCAGGCGATATCGGCACGCCGATCGCATCGGAAGATGTCCGAAATCCGAGACACTTCTTCCGTACCTTACGAAGAACTACCTGGAATCTCAAAGTATATAGGTTCAGCCAATAGGTACAAGATGGTACAAGGCAGTTCTACGTGCGGGTCATGATGGGTCATGTCCCATGTTCAAGAGCGTACTTGAAGTCACGTCCAGGTAGTTGTCGACTCGACAGGACCAGTTCTTCGACGTCCAAGACCAGTTCTTCTGCAGTTGAGAACGAGGGGGCGCCTTTGCGAAACCCGGAATAATTCGGCATGCAACATTTCAGAGGACTGCATCATATCATGTCCAGCATGTCATGCTTGAAAACCGTCTCCATATCAGACATTGTCTGATAGAATGTTGACAGAGGTATCAACCAGAGGTACTCAACCAGGTCTTTCAACGTTTGCAGCATAAAGTCTCCCACCCTTCTCTGGAACCGGCCATCAGCTGCTCTTGAGACCTGGCGTAACCAAACCTGCAACTATATGCAATGACATCCAACCTAATAGCAAAAGGAACCTAGTAGGAATGGCCTCCACCCTGTAGCGATGGCCTCCAAGCTACTAGCGACATGCATTAGTGTGTTTCTCTAAATCTTTCTTGAGGTGACTTATTCCAGTGCTCTTTTTGGGATCCCCACCTGGGCCCTTAAGCCCTAGCCAGACTGGAGAGTAGCTGTCAGCTGCAGCTCAGGTGCATAGAGGAGCATCAGGATGGAGAGTAGCAGTCCAAAGGCACTTTGGATCACCACAAAGCCTGTCAACGCGGCCCCGCTTACTAAGAGAATAGTAGGTTCGAGGCTATTGCTATTAGGTTTGAGGCTTTTGCTATTAGGCTGGAGGCCACCACATCACTAATCATTATGGGTTGGAGGCCGTCCCTATTGGGTTGCAGGCCATTGCTTCACCCAACTTCGCGGTGTCTCAGCACGGACTGGCCACGCCATGTTCGGTGTCCGGTCGTGGCTCGCGGTTCCTTTTCTGGTTTGCTTGGCTGGAGACGGTTGGAAAGACCCTACCAAATGCCTTTGGTTCTAGAAAGTAACTCCCAGTGCCACCTGAAACACGAAGATCCAGCCGTTCAAACGAGCCCAGGTGAGCAGATCAAAGCTGCCCAGACATGGACCCGAACCAACTGCTTCTTCTTGCTTCAGTCCAAAACCCTAGTTGTTCCAGGTCAAAACCCCTGTAACGAACGGGGAACCAGGTCCAGACTCTGAAGCCGAACTGGGTGAGTTGTTGCCCTAGCTCACTGATTCCGTGCTTCCGGCCGCCACGGAGCGGCCGCCTTGGTAATAGCAATCCTTCGCCATCGCATCCACATTGTTGACCTGAGTGACTCCACCGGATGACCATGGATGACCTGTGGACCCAAATCAACCATGTCTGTCCACCGGATGTGCCGGTGGAATCCACCTCCAAAGGCAGACTTGCCACGCAAAACACGACCAAAACCACAAGACAAACGCTATCTAAATCTAAGCTGGATCCGCCTCCAAATCCAAAGTCATTCATTTCCAAACAGAACAAAGAGCCATGGTCCAGACTGCTTGAGGGAACAAACAGTCAGTCTTTCGTTTGGACTGGCAAGCTTCGACCAGAGTTCAGGGGAACTGGTAACCACTTCGAACTTGACAAAATTCGTCGAAGACCAGCCACCAGCGTCGGAACAAGAACGAAGAGATTCAATGCAGTGATGGGCCTGCAGTGATCCGCCTGTAATTCTGGCCATTCGTGAGTTCCTCACACGGTGCCATCCAAATCCACAAACATCAAAGCCCTTGCCCCACCTGCCCATCATCAGAGCTGACACCTCTCAGCTCACCATGCATATAACTGGGTGGAAAGACTGGAGCTGATCCTCTGCCCAAACCACCCACGAAAAGGCTCGGTCTTCGAAATGGACGCGTTCCACCTGCACTCTGCCCAAACCACCCACAGGGTGCCCTGAACCCGGAAGCATCGAAAGAAAGGGCCTTAGTAAATCGTGTCTTCTCCGACTTAGTGGACGTGGAAACTCATGGACAATCACCTGTTCGGACCTGTTTGGAGATGCTTGTTTCTAGGTCAAGGCTTCTTCTCCAAGCGGCGCCCACATAGAACCACCAATGCCCATCCACCTTGTTCAGCTCCTGAACAGCCGTCAAACAGTACCACCAACACGCCACGCAGCTCTGCGCCGGTGGTGTCAACGAATCGAATCTGTAAACTGACTGGTGCTTAGTCAGTAGGGAATGAGGGTGGCTGGACCCAACAGCAATCTCTGTTGGGTGGTCATTCCCTCATTCCCTACGACTAAGCACCAGTCAGTAAACATCCACGAGACTCTGTTGTGCGGACGAGAATGAAACAGGCGATTCACTTCAGTACGTACGACGCGAGGCCAACCATTTGGACAACCATTTGGAACGAAAGGAAGCCAGCCAACCTCAAAAGGGGAAGAGACCCAATTGGAACAGAACAGCTACAACCAATCAGCAGTCATCTTGGATTTGCCCAACAAAATCAAATCTTCGACCCTGGCTGTTGATATCCTGAGAAAGACAATCATTTTCGGAGGATGTGCTCAAAATCATCCATGCGGTAGCCAGCCGTGCATGTTCTACGTAGAAATATCCTGCAATCCGGGGTGTGTCTGAAGACATCCTTCAAGTAAACAATGCGCATTTTAGCGATTTGGTCAGTTCTATCATGCACCATCCTGCCATATCAGAAGGACCTCATGCAAAATCCTCCGAGAAACAGAAGAGTCTTGGGATGGTCACCTGCCTTGCCTGCTTCGCCCTTTGCACTTCGTTTGGACAAACACGGAGAATGTGTCACATCATAGCTGGAGAATGATGAGAATGAGACAACTCCCTACTCTTGACGACTCGTATACCATTACTGACCTCCTCTTACTCCGACCTAATCCCTTCTTTGGCCTCCAACCTAGTGGCGATGGCCTCCCAAAATAAACATGGATGATCATGGATGGCATTTCCAACCAGCTCATCATCTTCCCATCATATCTGCTCACATGGATGAACAGACCGTCCTCCTCCAACTATAACATGAAAGTCGACAAAACCCCATGTTTGGTATGCGGAAAATGGCCATCCAGGGGCCAATGATATCCACTTCCATGTTGACGTGTTCATCGGAGGGTATGCAGACCACCACCTTTGGGTTCAACCGCCACTCCTCAGCATCCAACATCAAGAGCTTCGCGAAGAGCTGCTTCCGGTGCACCATGCGCGTGCCACCCGTGCCTCAGCGGTCAGCTATGCCGAACACGCGCAGGTTGGAGAAGGAGTGGGAGACTCACACAAGGAGACGCACATGTTGCCGAGTGGTGCAAGTGGTAGGGGGATGTTGTCTACAAAACACTCATCTATAATAATTGGTTGCTGGCTCCCAAAACTGATACAAAAAAGGCGGATAAAAACGCACATGCAATGCAAGGCGTCGAGATGTCAGTCTCCGCAACATGGAACAACATGAAGAAGACTGCCCCAGCTGTCAACCTGCTTCAGGCACTTGAAAGCATCGATGTCCAACTAAATGTCCAACTAAAACAGTACAGGATGGCCAGTAGATGTCTATACGGAGAAAACCGACACGTTTTCCATGTATTACTACGCATATTAGCCGCTAACTCACCAACATGGAACTATACACATACACTCCATGGGACTGCCATATATGCCTACATTGACCCCTCTGGCACCACCCCTGGCCTGATCGGCAGTCCTATGGCAGTCCCATGTGTCGTGTCTGGGATAGAAGGGGGTCCCTTGGAAGACCGATTTCGTTGAGAAACAAGATCTTTGTTCCTACTGCCTCTTGTTCGCTAAGAACATGGTCGATGAGTCGGGTAACGATTTGCTTCGAACCGTCACGTTTGTATATGTATTATTTTTCGTCGCGTTGAATGACCCCGCAGGCGGATGTTCCAATTCTATTCTATATGTCCAAGAATGTCAAAGATATATCATATCAAGGCAAATGTACTGGCCTTTCCACATATATCCACTATCCCCCATTTCATGGGCCTTTGTTTGAGCGGACCTCTGATCATTTGATTTTTCGTTGCCACCCTTTGGACCGTCGGACGCCTTAGCAGTAACAATCCAGTCCTGGACTGTGCAGTTGCCAGAAGGGCAAGTGATACAAAGGTACCTGGACCTTCATGTCGGGGTATCCTGGACCTGGAGATCCCGGATGGTTAGTGTAATTTGGGGCTTCCAGCTGACCCCTTTATAAGGTGCTCGTATGATCAGTTCGTGACACGCAGGGCGGTAAGAGCTGTTCGAAAGGAAACTCCCAGTGGCGACCACGGCTGGCACCCAAGCTATCTGTTGAGATGTGGCCCTGCAGCCAGTCTATAGTAACCACTTCGGGAGATAGCCACTTCAGGAGCCAGCTCTCAGCTATCTCCCTGCTGCGGCTGCAGAAGCAAGCAACTAACTGACCCCACATGCACGCCAGACTGGAGGAGTCGGTGGTACCTGGAACCCCAAGTCCCAACCAGAAGCAGTTCTGGTTGGAACCCAATAAGGGGCCAGCTTGAAATCGAAATGGCTGGGACTGGGGAGTTATATCCATTTGTTTCATGGTTGTTTGGGCTTCCCAGGCAGGTATACCAAACTGGCTGCTTCTATACAGTAGAGTCTCCCCCCATCTGCCCCGCCGCAAATCCTGCGGTCGCCGGCCGTTTCTCCGCCCGGCGACGTCCGCGGTTCTCCACCGCCAGCTTGTCGCCGAAGCGGAGGAGCGCCGCCGAGGCGAACTGCGCCAGACCTGCGCGGTGACGTGCGACGAGCGAAGACTCCGGGGTGCTAGCTGCCACGGCGGCGGCTCCTGGAGGATTTCGGGTTGATTTATAATGGATTGAGGGAGAGAGCTCGGCCCCCTGTGAGGGGTGACGAACTCAGAGGTACCAGCTTGGGAGTTTGACAGGAATGTGTTTTGAGGTGCGGTATGGCGCGGTCAGACTCACGATGGGCGCCACCCATGGCGTCAGTGCTTGGAGATCTCTCTGCCAGCCCATCACAGGAACTGGCACCGATCGGATTGACCCCAGCGCAACCGAGAAAGCGGCACGTGAAGCCTTTGACATTTAGTCCTGAGAAAGTATCTTAAATCACTTAAATCAACATCAGGGTACCCGACCAAAAAATATGTATACCGTATGCATGTATTATAGTAAGTAAATGAAGCCGAAAAAAACAAAAAACAAAAACAAACGGTCAAATGGATTCCTGTTGGGATACCGACGAAGTTGTCATGTTCAGGTTCACCAACCCAGCCAAGCGGCCCATCATGCAGATCTCCAGCGGCTTGTCGCCTGACGATCGACGCGACTCCAACGGAAGCAAAGAGGGCGACCGCGCCGAGACCTTGGGAGCGTTCGGACGTTACGAACGGGGCGCTCCTGGCCTTACTACTAGGAGCAAGAAGCTAGGAGCAAAGGGCATCGCTACTAGGAGCAAGGACGCTACTAGGGACTCCTGGCCTTACTACTAGGAACAAGGACGCTACTAGTAACAAGAAAGGATTGGAGTGGAAAAGGCTCAAGTGGGACGCAGCCCAGACAGAGTCGACGGGCACATGGACCCGGTGGTTGGGCATGCTAAAGGGCCCTGGGATCTAAAGGCTGCCATTGCTGCAGCCTCAACCGGTAGCAAGAGAGGAAATGCGTATGCACGTTGGATGATCATGAAGCCCAAGCCAAAGGGACCTGACGCAGAGGAAACATGGACACACATTCTATGGCGTGGCGGACTGTTTATACATACTTTTACATTCAATTATAGAAAAAGGGCCCGGGGCCCAAACCATCAAGAAGCGTATGCCCTTGCATCAGCATCCACTGTGCCAGTGCGCTGCGAATCCGGCCGGCGGATGGTTTCGACCTCTGGGAACCGGCATTCATTTCTCTTCCAGCATGGAATTGGAGCTGTCCGGAATGACACGCCCACGGCACATGTCCTTCCCGAATCACGTGTCGATCGGATTTTTGTTCGACCACGGCACGCGTCGCAGCGTGCACAGCTGCGGCGCGAGCGCACGGCGAAAGTGACCTGCAGTTCCGAACCGCATGCTGCAACACGCCTCGCCGATATGTGGTCACCCATCTACTCTCACGGTCATCAAGCTGATGGGTCGTCAAGCTGCACTTGGGATGTGCTGGATGAGCAACGCGTCCAGATACTCCGCTCTCAGCGGCCACGCAGCATGGCCGACGTTCCTTGGCTGCGCGACCTGCCACGCGGCCTACGCTGCGCCAGCCGAGGCCATCGGGCGAGCCGGGCAGTCCAAGGACGCGGAGACGGCTCCGTCGGCCAGGACGGGGGATTGACCGACGAACCGCTAGGACTCGTTTTTCTACGAGAGAGCCACCCGCGGTTCTAAATGTATTTCCAGCCTGAATCCCGAACCATTGTTTTTCTAAGGGTTTTACACTACAAAACCAGATCAACCATTAGAAATGGTCTTTGACTTTCCAGTACTTCCAAAAGCCAATCATGAAGATCCCTGTGTACGCTGCACGCCAAAACCTTCCTGCAGGACCGCTCCGTGCTTTTACTCAGCTTTTGGGACCCACAAAAGACCTCCCACGCCCCGCGACTCGCGCGTCGTCGCTGCTTTTAGAACTCCAGGCGACCGAAACCAACCCTTCGGGTCCACCCAACGCTTTCTCGGACTCGACAGTCGTCGCTACCGGTCGCTTCCAAGGCGCCCGGGATGTCCGGATCGCAAATCTGGTCCAAGAGGATCCTCGCTCCGGACTTGAAGGCATCAGAAAAGGGGGCTCCATGTCTCTCAGCTTTCAGGCGACGAACTGGGGCTGTTTTGTTGCGGCGCCGAAGAGCCCAAAACATGCCAAAACCACTCGCCGTGCCGCTGCCAAGCGTCTTTTGCAGCAGCGCGGTGACGCAAACAGTGTGGACCTTACAGGTCGAACACAGCGAGCGATCGGGGGGCCCGGACACCACGGGCACCGATCCTGTGTTCACCACGCCAAGTTCCAGTGTGACTGTCACACCGCGCTCGATGCGTTTGGTCGACTGCACAGCTGTTCCAGTACATCGCAGGGCGAAGGTCGCCCACTCCCATGTCGTGGTACTTGTTCAGTGCGCCCCAAAGGGTACTCGAGGGATGTTTGCTGTGCAATACATCGTTGAAGGTAAGTTGGATATGAGCCCCCCAGCATGCACGCCAAAAAGCTCTTTCGCTCTTCTACCTTAAACGTCCAGCTGTAGGGGCAACCGTCTGACCACGTTTGAGTCATCCAAAGAATATCAGCGCCGTGGACAGGATTGGATTCAAAGAAGATGTATAGAACATCAATGCTCCCCGTGACTCCTGTTTATAAGACTCAATTTCCTATAAAGAAGATAGGACTACTACGTAGACTATATACTGTATACCCAGCTTCTTGCCACACACGGTCATGTCCAAAAGCCCCGTCAGAAGATCCAATTCTCCCCCCGCAATCACATCCTCTCTCTAAGGCCTCCTGGCCGGATCGTACCTGAGGCCAGCAACACTTCAGCGACAAAACCCGGTGCGTTCAAACATGTTCCAAAACACCCATGCAGGATCCCAGGAATGTTGGGTACTCAGGATTCTGGAATCTGATCACAACAAAGACAGACTACAACATACTATAACTAGTCGCAGTTGATCTGGGACTGCATTTCCCAGACACTCCATGGGACTGGAATGTATGCCGCCCCATTGACCCCCCCTGGTACCACCACCCCTGGCCTTTTCTCGGCAGTCCGGACTGGCAGTCCCATGTGTCGTGGTCTGGGTTTCACTCCGGGACGTACCACGTTCCGAAGTGGAGCAGTTACCGTCACCTCTCCGGGACGGGCGCGTTTACGCCTACGCGTGACTTCGACTTCGCGTGACTCGGACGATCATGCCATCCACCGTCGTCGACGGGTCTTCGTTGATTTACACCAGATTCCAGACCCCTTCGAGTCCACCCCCCACGCATGGTTTTGGTCCACGATTTCTGAAGTCCTCATTAAGTAAGTCGACCGACCTACAGTTTTTGTAGACTATAGTATAGTCAAAAACCACCGAGCACACACGAGAAGTGAAGAGAACCTTCAGATCCCAAATGGAAGGAACGTCTGATATGAAGCAGTGAAATGGAATCAAGTCATGAGGATGAAGTCAAGTGAGACGCCAAACACCAGGGAATGGTCAAAATGACTATCACCGTGTTATTTTGGGTGGGCTATCGGCGAAATTGCAACGTCGATGGATTGATCCATCTTCCATCATCTTCCACTGCCGCAAATGCACCACAAAGTTCCATTCTGTCCCCGACAGTTCTCCGTCGTCGCTTTCTTTTTTTGCGGAGTTGCAAGAGACCCAGCAAGGTCTTCCACCAGTGCAGACCTCTTGAGCTCCTTCGCTCCTCACGGAGAGAGCTCCCACGACACACCCCTTTTTGAAGCTCTGGTTGATGAGATCGCCGGCAGGGGTTCTATCAAGAGTGATTGGGGCCATCGCACCAATAAGAAACATCACGGGGTGCTCCCGCCCCGCGTCGGCGCGACCATGCTTTGGTTTGCTGGGGGTGATAAACTCCCACGCAAAAAGGGTCAAATGCACATACGATAATCACTTACCAGCCTTCCAGGTGGTTTTTGGACACCTCTTAACCTCTAAGGAGGCTATTTATAGATACCTCTTGGAAGGAAGGTCCTGGTAGAAGTCTTCTACCTTGGCTTAAATAGCTTGTGGCCACCCTGCAACAGGAGAAGTCTGATGCAGTCTGCCTTTGCTCTCTTCATGTCCTGCTGATGTGTGGGGATGGATCATCAACGATGGTCAAAATCCCCACACACTTCAACCATGACTGGCCACCTGGTTCCCAGCTGGGGGTGACTGCCGAAGTTGTGGGGTGTTTCGAAACACCACTCCGTACCACTCCATGCAAAACCATCTGTGTTTGAACTCAGTAAGACACCTGTTGAAGTGCGTTGAATTAGTAAACCACCACACACACACAAAGAAAACACCACTGTAAGGTTGCACATCTACGGGATGGATGCATTTCTGGAATAAAAAGACACGCAACATAGATCCCACTCTATTCCCCTGTGAGTACCAACCAATCTCTGCTGCCTTCAAGCGTTTCACTTATATAGAGCCACGCAGCTCTTGCTTGTTGTGGGGACTCCTTCTCAGGGATCAAAACAAATTCTGTGCTTTCAGAGCAAATGGCGCAACCCCCAAGGGTTGGATGCTTTGTGTGGACCCATCAAGTAGGGCATCTAAAAGACATACTGCGCCATCTACTCTGAAACCAACATCACATATCCCGCACAAGCAAGGCAGAACACCAAAGCGGGACACAGATCTCCTGCAGGTAGTACCAAATGACCCAGAAGCGCGACTTCCTGGGTGTGGAAGACCGGCAGCAAGTGTGGAAGACCGGAAGCACCAAGCATGCTTCCGTGGACCAAACACCTACGTTATGAGTTATGACCCCTACTGCACGAACACCAACAGGATCAAACAGGGGGATGTCCAATGGTCCAAGTGTGCATGGTCCAGTCTGTGAGAATCCAAGTGCCGTTGGCCAACGTTCTACGAACTCTGTCAACTGATCACTCGTGTACACCGTGCACACGTTGAGACTTTGTTCACCTGGGGGTCACGCTTATGGGCTACACACATGTACATTAGCCGGCAAATCGAACATAAAGAAGGGTGAGGAAAACAATTGGAAGCCACAAGTAGCGCATGCCCTCTTGAAACAAACAAATCGGTCAGTCTATCAATCTATTTGGTGACACCAAAGTTCTGGTCCACTGAAGCATGTGCAGCTACAGTACATCATGAGGATTTGTTCAAGCACCTGTCGCTGTTTCACACACGATGTAACATTGAAAAAATGCAAGTTGTGCACTTCATGAAAGTCATCTTGACGGATGGCTGAAACCACGATTGATCTATGCAAGTTGGTCCCATAAGAATCTGCTAAGAACATCAATCCCAAGAAATTGGCTCTTGAACTGCTCCCAAGAATTCCCAGAGTGAGGGTCCATCTAAGTTGGCCCGTTGGCCCAGTCTGTGGTATCGAACCGTGGCACGTCTGGCGTATCGAACCGTGTTCTACAAACGCGTGGAAACCAATCCCCGATGGAGCACACCCTACAAAGAATAGACTAATGACTATAATGACGAATGTTGACTGTTGATTCATCTTAAAATGCACACGCACATCGTGTAAATGATGGATCCTTCCAAAGAATTAGGGATGTTTTATTGATCAACAGTCTAAACTTGGAATCTTCTTTTGTGTCTCTCCTTCCAAGAACCGGTCGCTGTTTTTGGGTCACCTCCTCTGCTGCCGAAGGACTGCTTGGCTGTTGGAATGTTGTAAGGGAACGCGTAGTCGTAGGAGATGTAGACTCGGACCTTTGAAAGCGCGGTCAACAGGGCTCTCCCCAGGGCTTTTCAAGACTGCCAAAGAAATGCGGAAACTGATTCAACAATGTAATGATTGTTGGACGGCGGTCTTTCTCTTCATGTGAAATATTAAACAGTCTTCTTTTGAGTTTTCAGGGTTAGAGGAGTGTGCAATCGTTGAAAAGAGCATACCAAGCAAGCAACTTCCAATAGTATTCCGAATATTGATGAGATTGCAGTTATGCTAACTGTGTGTATAAGGTTTTAACACCAGTCATAGTTACTGTATATCATATATTGGTCTATCCTATTACCTGTAACAGTGGATGATGATGGTTAGCGGTTAGTACAGGCCTTGCCAAAAAATAGTGATTGTTTACTGACTGTTACAGGTAGTAGGACAACATGGACAAACCCAAATTATATATATATATATCGCTGAGTATATAATCAATCTATATATCTCAACTCACATCTGGTGTGGCAACTTCCTCGGCTCTCAAGACAGTGGAACCCTTGGGAGCTGCAAGCTGGAGCTGCGTTGGAAAACCCAACAGGGAAAGAGCTGGAGTGAGTCGCTCAAACCGAACCCCCGGAGAGTCCAGTCATTGACTCATTTAAGACCTCCCCAGTCTCTAGTGAACCGATCAGTGTCCAAAAGCGATCGGAGACCCAGCGTGCAACCCCAGAGGACGGACGCAAGGTCCGTTTGGATTGTGACTCGGAGTAAGTAGTTCCATATGGAGTATGCCCAAACACGCCGTTGGGACTTTGAACCCCATACATTGACCATACATTGACCCCTTTGAGTTCATGGTGTCCACAACGCCCTGCGCGCCCGGGCGGTGCGGCGGTGGCTCTCCCGCGCCAAACTGGGACCACCTCGCGGGTCCGGGGCGCACGACGTTGAGGCTGGGGCTTGGTGGGACTTTTTGGGAGGTGGTGTTTCTTCCAGAATTGGTTTGGCCAAGTCCAGGGAAAATCAGAACCCGGCCGATTGCCAATAGGTTGCTTCAAATGCTTCAATCCAATCGGTTGACCAAGCCGCCAATCTTTGCCGTTGCGCCACTCGTCGCTCCAGGAAAACAATAGTAAAGCATTGGCGAGGTCCAAATCAAAAGGTCCCTGTGACGGTCATTTTGGATGCTAAAATGGCTAGGCTAGAATGCTATAACCTGCAGGTTGGGCTGGTCACCTTGGAATTCTCAAAGCAAAAGCCATGTGGATAGGCCGCCTGCCACAAGAATCATGCTCAAACGAGGAGCACCTTTGCCTTGAAATTAATTGAACACCTCACTATAAACTATTTGACGAGGAAATGCAAGGGCAATGTTCTTTTATCCCTACTTACTTCGATAGACCCACCAACCACCGTTCATTCGCTCGCCCGTTGGTTGTTTCAACACACCTGCACCCTTTGGGTGCTCCAACCGCCCAAAGGTTGCCCAAACCGAATGGTCACAACTCTTGCTCCGAGTGTTCTCCCGTGGATCCCGAGTGTTCTCTTGGGCCGAATCCGGTCTCCGTTGGATCAGACTCCAAGGAGTATAGAAGTCCAGAGGCGACAGACTAAGTGTCAAGTCATTTTGGTGGTTCTGTTCATGGGCTGCTGAGGCAACCGAGGTTCGAAGCCGTAGGCAACTGAGACAATCAGATTCGATACCAGAAATGCAAAGATGCAACAAGAGAAAGCGAAGGCTTGGAGTAGAACCTGGAGATTCAATATCTTCAATAGCTGAAGAGAAATCCCATAGAAACAATATACCAACTTAGCTACCGACTCTGGGAACCTGGAAAAGCTAAGTCAAAGCCTCGACCTGGCTAGCTTTTGCTTCACATGATTGTAGGAACATACCCATTTTTGCATTGTTTGGTGGTGCAAAGGTTCTTTTTGGGTCACTCAGGTTCTTAGGTCAAAACTCGCCATGTGAAACTTGTCAACTGAGAAGTTCTGGACGTGCAAATGCTAGTAACCAGTACTCCACTTGCAAGGAACGTATTAACATATATGTGCATGATTCCTCTATATGCCTAATGTTTTGCCGTGTTGGGTGTCTGATCAAGCTTGATATCTATGCCACGTCCAAGCCTCAAGGCCGGCCTACGACCCCCTTCACCGCACCTAAGGTGGCTTTTCCCTTCACCACCTCCAGCAAATCAATCTCGAAGTACCTGCGAACGAATGCTCTTTCGAAAGCCTCCCCAACGACTGGGAGAGACTCTGGAGAAAAGCTCGGGTGTCCAAACGTTTCGAGATGGATGGAGAGTCTGAAAGTCGAATGCGGAATGCTGGTCTTGCTTGGTGCATTCCGGGTGTCCTTCCCATGGACATCTGGATGGGTCAAGGCCGAATTCGAACAGATCCTCCGCCCCAAAATCCCCCCCAGATTCCTGGCTCCGCCTTGTTTTTTTCCACCGCGAAATCACGAACTACCCTGGTTCGACCAAGGAATGTTTACACCCTAAGAATCCTTGGACCCTCCGAGCTGGGGGGTTTTGACCCTGCAGAACGCAGGGGTTTGGACCCGAACCAAACCTTCACTGAACTGAGGGTCCTTGATTCTTAGAGCACAGACGCTCCAAACAGCCCTTGTGTCCCTCAAAACCATAGGGTTTTGAGGGTCCAAACCCCTCCATATGAGGGTCCAACCCGGTGCCAGGAGCGTCTGGGTATATGACTGTTACAGGTCAGTTCGGACAGACCCCATCTACACCCACAACAGTGATCTTCTTGCCCACAAAAATATCTCTTTGTCAGGTGCTTTTGACCCACACAAATCAGCGCCGACCGACCGACACTCGTCGTGCGCACCGCATGCGGAGCGACGGGCGACGGAGCGACGGGCGACGGAGTGTTGCACGCCAGCAGTCACAAGAGGGGGTGGTGTGGCTCGTCCCATCCAGTGAGTGGATGTGACAGGGGCACCCCTAACATAGATAGCACCCCTAACATTGTGACTGCTGGTGTGTGTCTTTTCCAGAGCTAATTTTCATGATTCCCAGACGCTCCAAACAGCCCTTGGGCCCTCAAAGCCATAGGGTTTTGAGGGTCCGGACCCCTCCAAACGATTCGGGTCCGACCCCTGCATAGGTTCGGGTCCCGGGTCGCGTCTGGGTGATTTCTAAACAAGAGTTGATCCGTTGATCACATGTCTTCAGATCCAACGAGGGCGTGTTTCCGTCGGAAAACCGACGGACGCGGATCCGGATCGCAACCGAGCTCGGCCTTCTCCCTCGAACCCTTGGCATCTTCCTGCTGTATGTTCCGGCCAACTTCTGAGGTTTCGTCTGACGGCAGGATTGCCAACAGATGTTTCAATCGTCTAAACACTAAGCATTCGACTGTCATGCACAACTGAAGCACGATCTTTTCTTCACTTCAGCTGGGAAACCGCTATCGAAATGTCTGGATTGCAAGTCTTTCGGCACCCAAAACCCAACGACCTCGTGTGCCCAACGGGCCCTTGCTTGATCGCTGGCGAGCAGCTGGGTGGTTTTATAGGTTCGAGGTGGTTGGAGTTGAATCTTCACTTCGACTTCCACCTGAGATCAGAGGGGCAAAGCCAGGCATTTCGTGTTCCCTCATCACTTTGCACCAATTTCTACAGAAACCATCTAGACTCCAGTCTCCAGGAGTCTTATTGCTTTGGAGCATGGATGTGGGCATGTGGGAGTTGGAGCAACACTGGTGGGATGAGTCTTTGACCCCGTGTCCATTCTCGACTCAATCCATCAGCGATCGCCAGTGACCCAGATCAATGTGAATCTGAGACTTTGCCAAACCACCAGGGTCCAGGGTGGAACAGTCAGGGTCGGGCGTGGATGCTACGCAACAAACACTTCGTCACCAATCACTACAGTCACCATCTATAGACTCACAGGGTTACCGCTGTTGATCTACCAGGTGTTTGAGAAGACAATATGTCTCCAGGAGTCTTTATGCTCCCGCTTTCTAGCTGGTTTCGACCACACGATTTACAATATATTTACAGATCTCCAAAACCCCTGCCAGCAGGCCCTGAACTTTGGATGCCTAGCTGGATTTTTTGAGATCCCAACACATCCCAAAAGCATGACCAGAAACCAGCACCGAACCCGGATCGAACCTCCGAAACGTCCGCGGAAAGACGACCAACACCGCCCCTTCTACGCGTACCCGCGTACCCGTCGCTTCCGTCGCTTCCGTCCATCGTCGTGCTGGGTCTGTCGTGCCGGGCACCTCAGAGTCCTTGAAGGTGACGACTTGATTCTGGAAGATGTAGTCCTCATATGTGCCAAAGCCCCCCCACACGCACGAAGATCACGAAGGATCGCGAAAAAAACGGGTCGTTGGGGCTGATGTGGGGTGTGACTGGCATTCTTGGGGACACCTCCCTGTTGTCCAAAGCCAACAAGCAAAACCAGTACTGATGCCAACAAAAGAATGGCACCCTACACCCTACACCCATGCTGAGTGTTTTTTTGGAAGAGCGAGGTCGATGAAAGGCAGCGCACACCGGGGATGTTCCTCTCTTTTCATCAACCAAGGGCCTTTCCAGGCCATGCCCTACCAACAGAGGTTGAATGACCAAATTAGTTCGACGATCCCACGTCGAGGGGCCCAAGGTGTTCCGGGTCCTATTTACGGTCACTGACATAACCACTCCTGGTACATCTAAGATTGGTCATCTTCACCCGACCGTCCGAGGGGAACGGCCTGGACCGTCTCTGGACCGGACCTGGACGTGTCCGGCATGGAAAACGTCCCCGGTACAGGGGCGGTGGATCTCCTGAACCCGGCGGGAGCTCCGGTGGTGCCAAACACCCCACGTGGCGAAAGAAACCAACGAAAACCCGGTTCGACCATCGCCGGGTGAAGTGGCACAACCCTCATCCTCTTTTTGTCATCAGCAGCCATCTTCAAAGAACCACCAGAGCAACCAGAAAACCACAGCAGCCTAACGATCAACGTTAAACACCAGAAGCAGCGAAACAACAGCACCGCCAGCAACCAGAAGCACCACAACCACCACCAGAAGCAACAATCGCTCATGTCTTGGCACTTCCAACTATTCCACGGCCGGGTGCGTCCTTGCCATTGTCAGCCACGTCATCCTCAGCATATCACCAGGCGAGGCGAGGCGAGGCTCAAAGATGTCATCCGTCTCCCGCCCGTGAACGCGAGTAGAAGAAGAGGGATGAGTCGTCTGGTTTTTGGACCAGCGAGCATAGTGATCCTCAAAAAACATTATACAAAATGAATTAAATTTTGGAAATGAAAACGTTGCCAGGCAACTGACCATCTTCCATCATGGGACCCTATAGCCAAAAGTGGCAGAACATCCTCTATCGCTAGAGGTTGGTTCTACACTTCCAAGGAATCTTTTGGGGAAGTCCTTCCAAAAAAGTAATGGTGAAAGAGTCCGTCGGCGTCAGAGCACCCATTTATAGTATAGAAACTCGAATTTTGCTAGATTCCATGCTGTGATCTGAAACTAACTAAACTACTACCACTACTACCACTACTACCTACTACCACTACCTACTACCTACTACCTACTACTACAACTACAACTACAACAACAACAACAACTACTACTACAACTATTCCTCCCACTCCTACTCCTACTCCTACTCCTCCTACTACTACCACTACTGCTACTACTACTACCACCACTACCACTACTACCACTACCTCCTACTACTACTACTACTACTACTACTACTACCAGTACTAACTACTACTACTACTACCACCACCACCACGACGACTACTACTACTACTCCCACTCCTACTCCTCCTCCTCCTACTACTACCACTACTGCTACTACTACCACTACCAGTACCACTACTACTACTACTACCACTACCTGCTACTACTCCTACTACTACTACTACTACCACTACTACTGCTACTACTACTACTCCTACTACTACTACTACTACCACTACTACTGCTACTACTACTACTACTCCTACTACTACTACTAGTAGTACTACTACTACTACTACCACGACTACGACTACTACTACTACTACTACTACTCCTACTCCTACTCCTACTCCTACTCCTCCTCCTACTACTACCACTACTGCCACTACTACCACTACCACTACCACTACTACTTCTACTTCTACTTCTACTACTACTACTACTACTACTAGTACTACTACTACTACCACCACTACCACTACCACTACTACTACTACTACTACTCCTGCTGCTGCTACTACTACTACTACTACCACTGCTACTACTACTACTACTACCACTACTATTACTACTACTACTACTACTACTACTACTACTACTACTACTACTACTATGAACTCATTGCTTCCTATATGGACTCTGGCCTCATGCTCACCAGCTCATCCCCTCAAAGCCTGGTATCATCCTTCATGGTCCTATGGTCTCGTAACACATTATTCAGGGGAGGTGGACCTCATGAGTGGTATCTCATACATTCTTGACCTTGTTGACCTACCATGTGCGAGGGGGGATGTTTATTAATCAGGAGTTGACATTACCATTACTGGGCCAGCTGCCTTGGTGATGATCGTATGTCCAATGGTGGAGCACATGGCGGTCTATTGCACCTCGCCATGACGCCCCTCAGCTACGCCATGCGCTACGCGCTCCGATTCACACTTCCAATCCACTTGCCCCATGTTTGTGCCCCCATGTCGCGTGAACAGAATCTGTGTTGTGGAGTTGAAAACACATGTTTTGGGGAAAAAAACACTCAGATTTCATGGTCGGAGCCATTTTCCATCCATCCATCCACATCACCATGGATTCGACACCTTCGGGCATTTGTGTGTGTTGTGTTTGCACCGGTGACGCGACGAAAATCCCTCGACTTCGTCCCAGACAGCCCATATAAGTACATGGGATCTAACGACACGCCACTGCCAGACAGCTACCCCCCCCTCGCTGGGTTCAGATGTCTCAAGTGACCTGGTTCCGTGACCTGGTCAGATTCTTTCGGCGTGACCTGTCAGTTGATGACCACCGATCAGTTGGTTCTAGAACTGATCTCCATCTGACATCAGATCTGCGCCGATCTGGGGCCCCTATCTCTGTCTCCACGTCCGAACCCCATGCAGGGTGGACAATTCGTGAAGCAAAGCAAATGGATCTTTTTACCCGGAAGACATCAGTGCACCGCCTCAGTCCACCCACTGAGTCCGTGACCCACTGAAAACGCCAGGCGACCGGTCGACCGAACGAAGCACCGGCGGCACCGCTCAATCTCAGCTGAAGGGCTGCCTGTTCCAACTTGGATTCGCTGGGCCCGATGCGCACCTGAAACAAAACGAGTGTCACCGGTGAACAGCAAGTGCATGGGTATGAGCACTGCAAACGAGGTGGAGGGGTTTTTGGCAAGAGCTTGAATGGCACTTGAATGGTACTGAGAACAACGAAGAAGTTCTGTGCATGTGAGAGGCCGGCATGCTGGTGAGAGGCCGGCGGGGCCAGATGTCGTCGTTCCTTCGGGGATGCCCATCCGAGTGACAGGATCAACCGCAGCCGCTAGGGCCACAAAAAGGCTACTATGTCGTTGCGCGGTACTTTCCAAAACCGGCCACGTCTTTAGGTAGTGAGCATCAAGTCTGCAAAACATGGGGCACGTGCTGTCAGTGCTGCTCAAGGATGTATACTCAGTGCTGCTGGTCCTGTTACAAACTCTTCGCTTCCACCGGGGTCCATCAGCCCTAGCTTCGCCTGATCTGGCGAGCAGCTGCCCCAGATAGGGCCGCAGGACTAGCACCGGACACTCACAAGCAGGGTGTATCCCCTCTATCAAATCAACCAACCAAGGACTTGCCAAGGTCTACTTAGCCACTGGGAATCTACGTGGCACTCACAACATCTCACAACCACCTCGTGGCACTCTACAGTCCGGCCCTACTTCGAGGTTTGTTCAGCCCGAGTCAAAGGTGTTTAAGCGATATGAGTTCAGCCCGGCCATTGCCATGCGGTCCATGAGTTCAACCCGGCTGCTGGAGCCTTTGATGCGGGATCCACCCAACTCCTCTGCCACTGGCAATCCTCGTCCTGCGTGAACCCTCATGCTGCGTCACCGATCAGGTGGCTCCCTGTTCCTTGGACTTCAGCTACTCTCTTCCCGGTCACGTCACCTACGACACCGGCCAAAACGACCACCAGCCCGGACCTCGACCGCACCCGATGACGTCGCCTGCAACTCGCCCTCGGCGCTGCCGCTCCGGACCAAACGGACCACGACTTCGCCTCGGGGCGGCGCGCGACGAACGGCCGCCGGATCGACGGCGGGAGAGGAGAGGAGGTCGAAAACGGACGGTCATCCTCGCACGGGAGAATCGCACTGCTTCGGTTCTGAGTTTTTGCAGGTTTTTGCTGGGTCCCCTATTTTTGGGATTTCCTCCGCCCCAAAAACCCATCAGGTTTGGCATGGCTTTGGCCGTTTTTGTGTTGGGTCCCCTTTTTTTCCTTTTTTTGTGGGGTCGGGTTGGAAAAAGAAAGCCCAGCTGGATCGTCCCACCAAACCTGCCTGGGGAGTTTGACATTCTGCTTGGGCAAATTGCAGCAAGCTGATGTGTGCTAGGACCCCCAGTCGGGGTGGTTAATGGACACCCCTTGGGCTATCAATAGTCACCCCTTAGGGTGTCCTGGTGCGAGGGTCGGATTTCATCTGATTTCATAGCGTGCCTCCGCTCCACGGGCCCACATAAGACGGACCCAAAAACCTGCTGACTCGGCTTGTCCATGGGCCACCCACACGGCGCCGGTCCATGGGCCACCGATGTCCGGATATCATTTTGACATATTTACCCATCAGTTGGGGTGTTTTTGATGGGTCAATGTATACCCTGGGAGTCAAAGACCATTAAAACAATGGTTGACCTGGTTTTTGTATTGTAAACTCCTTAGTTGATTGGGTAAAGCCTATTAAATTAATGGTTGTTGGAAGCCTAGGGTATAGCTTTAAGAACCTTCCGTCTCCTTGTGTCCGCGATACCAGGGAGACCCGTCTCTGGCTTCTCTGCACAACGTCCACCCATATGGGAACCGGATAAGACGATACTCAGCGGTTCGCATAGCGAAGTGAGACGTCACGTCGAAAAACAAATGCCAGGGATTCCGAGTTCGGAGGAAGAAACACTCTAGCGATGGCCGAATCGACTCCAACCTAATAGCGATGGCCTCCAACCGATAGTGGTGGCGATGGCCTCCAACCTGTAGTGGCAATGGCCTAGAACCTGTAGTAGCGATGGCCTCCCCCTAAAAAACTCAATTGTTCACACATACACACTATATGTCCACATGGCCTGGGCTCGATTTGGAGCCCTTCTTACCTGACCTGAGGTCGATCCCAGTTTCTAGCCATCAAGACATATCAGTACATGTCAGGTTTCTTTAAGCACCTCATCAAAAAAGAACCTCTTCTGACCATGACATGGATCCTCTTCTGACCTCTGTCACTCCTTCCTTCCTTTCGCCCAACCCGCCGGTCTCGGCCGAGACGTCTCGCCCCGGTCGCACCCGTTTCACCCGCTCACGGTCCCCGTCTCCGCTCCGCCCGCGTCCCGTACGTTTTCGCTCCGGGTCGCCGTCGGAGGCTTTGCCCGTGAAGTTCAGGTGCTCAAAGCCCACCTGACGAAGGGCCGGGGGCTCTCGAGCGAACGGGAAGACCGAACGGGAAAGGACCGGTCGGTCCGGGTTTCACGGGGTAGGATGCATAGGAGGTTTTGGGACCGCTAGGATGTACCATGGAGTTACACAGGGGTGTGAAACCTCCCATCCAGTGAGTGGATGTGACAGCGGTAGCCGACTGACCAGCGGGCGCGCTTCACCACGGTCGGACAGCCGTCAGATGCGGAGGAGTAGACCGGTAAGCGCGTCGCTTCGCAACATCTCCGGGTGGAGAGAGCGAGACGCAACCGATCTCTCCCACGCTGCCGACAGCCCCTGACTCACCATAACTCCAGCGACGCTCTGGCGGTTTGGCAGATTTCGTGGCAGGCACAGCACTTGGTGAATGAACTCCGAAGAGATCCACCCGTATTGCAGCTCAAACACGTGTGCTGCTCGCCTAGCACTTCCTGAAATTCTGATCCACTGACCCGGTTTCTGCGTTCCATCTGAGATATCATATGATCGATCTATCAGGTCCAACCGCACTTCTCGGCACTTCTCGACCTCTATCTAGCGCATACTGCGATAAGCTAAGACCATCGTGAATTCTACACCCTGGAAAATTCACATATATACCCTGAAAACCACATAAAACCACTGCTGGGTAGAGGAACACCATCTTCCAGAGGCCAAACTTCATCAGGGTCCACGTGACCGAGCCAAAATCCCACTTCGGTGGTTGATCTAACTTATGAACTCCATCTTCCCTCCCCGCCCCCCAAATGACAACAAAACTACACGAATTGGGGTCCCACGGCACGCGCCATCGCCGCACCTCGTTCCCCTTCGGCTCCTCTGGCGTGACGACCTCAGCAACGGAGCGGAAACCGGGACGACCCACGTGGGAAGAGAAGACCGACAGACACCATGATGTTTGTTTGGGGGAGGTATGTGTGGGTGATCCAAAAAATAGAGGTCCTTCAGCTTCTAGGGATTCGACCTGTTATAAGTTGTTCGTTGTTCGTATCATAGACCCCCTCTACTCTTTATGACCAACCAACCCAACAAAAAAGGGCCATCCATGCGCACCCCTGCGCCTGCCAAGATGTCCTACGGGTGGAACGGGTGACACGTTCTGCGCATGCTTCTCGCGGAGACATGTTCTGGACATGGACTGGCATCCTTCCACAGGGAACGGCTAAGATGTCCTTCTTCCAGCACCTTCAAAGGGGTCACCAATGGAAGCCCCTACACTACCTAGGGATCTTCATTGGGCACCCCTTTGAAGGTCCAGGTTGGAATTTTTGGGCTAGCGGCATGTTCTTAAAGCATCCAACAAGGGATTGGACTGAGACACTGGGCATCTTCGGGGCAGACCGGCGTGTATCCGACCCGGGGACCGACCTTCATGCTGGGTAGGCATTCTTCATTATTATCTTCATTTTAAGGCTGGACTCACTAAACTGTGGAAGACCGAATGGTTTTCACTTGGTTTTCACCAGTCAAGATAGTATGTCACCTCGATGGCTTCAGCCTAAGAGCCTCAGATAACCTCTGAAGACCCACATCATCACCAAAGCCGTCGGGTGGTGCGTGGCTGCGCAGTTCACTCTGAGATCTCGGACCTTGTGCTGCCTCAAGTTTCTCCAGGCCTCTTGGATCTCCTCCTTCGTCGCGTCGGTGAGAAGAAAGTGCGTTCTCGTCCCTTTTGTAGGGGTGCGAGGGGTGTTCTTTTCCCTAAAATCCACATTCCCTTCTGACACGGTGCGATGATCAAACACCGTGATGATCAAAACGTCGGGTCCAGGAGACACCGAACCGCTCCACGGTTCGGTACGACAACGGATCAACAGGGTTGGATCTGAGGAGACCATCCGGCATGCCATTCCAATTGACTTGCAGGGGGAGCATGTGAAGACATTCGCTACCCGGGCGGGTGAGACAACGTCTCATCATGTGATGCTCCAAAACGACCCGACACGTGGTCTTCGGTTCCGGGTCGGACGCTGGGTCCGGACCTGAGACACCCGGGTCGGTCGGTGGTGCCCACGGGGAGGGCCCCCACAAGCACCACGGTGAGGGTCGTGTGGGTCGCATCGGGGTACATCTTAAAAAACCACAGCTGTTCTAGTACCCAGACACGACTCAGACAGGGCCAAACACGACCTGGCATATGCTCCATACATTATGACCCCTTTTCAACCAACCACCCCTGGCCTGATCGGGATTCATATGCCAGTCCCATTAGTTGTGTTTGGGTTTGGTGCTTCATGGTGTGTGATGGGTTCCTGTCATCAGTCCCTAACCGGGACTGAAGACGATGCTAGTCACTTGCTTCACCCGGTGGAAGTCCTTTCGGTGGATTTCGCCGTCGCCGCGATCAACGGTTGCCACACATGACTTGCCACAGAAGGACCGACCGTCACACCCGACCCGTCCAGGTCCAGGGTCCGTTGGCCGAAACTGGAAGGCGCACCGTTTTTTCCCAGAGGTTTCACCAGAGTCCTGTGAATCAGTAATGAATCATGTCATTATATAATAACTATTATGGTTGTTTTCTTTCTTTTCCGTGTGATTGTACAGGTTGTTTTTGTTGTTATTGTCTTTCTTTTCCGGGTGATTTCACAGGTATCCACTTCTTGTTTCTTCATTGCGCTGGATGATCTTCTAGACCCCGCCCCAGAAAGGCTCGACCAAACATGTGCTCGCCTCAGACATGGTCTCCGACTTCTTCGACGGAGGCGTGGAGGAGATGGAGGTGGACACCACGATGGTGCCGTCTTCCCTTGGAAAGTGGCACTCACAGAAGTGGCACTGGCCATGAGGTGGCCAGGAGCTGGCGGCCACTGCGGTCACTGCTAGGCTTTCATTGGCAGCAGTTTGCTTCCAGTTTGGAGGGCAGTTTCAGTGCGGGGTAGATAGACCTTAATGCATATATACGTACTACTTCCTATACCACTTGCAAGCAGCTGAAAACTGGGTCGGACCCTGTCTTTGCTTTTTGCAGATTTATACAGTTGCGGGTGGTGGCAGGAAAACCGATCCAAAAGAAGATGGGCCCAGGATCACGATGGCAGAACACGTTTGTTCTATCCAGTCAACTCAACATAGACAAGTAAATCGGTAGATCCTCCCATCAGATGTCTATCTAGTTGGGAACCTATGAATATGCCAGTTCACCCTTTTACCAAAAAAATGGTGAACTGGTCTCCTCCAAATTGGACTGGTCCAAACTCCTGAGCTGGCGAAGTTCAAGTTCATAGGATTAAGGACGCACGTCCTTCAATCAAAAACCACAAACCCAATCCACAAAACTCAGACTGTGATCATGCCGTGTCATGTGATGTCCAAGATCTGCCCTCCAAGATCTGCTAGTTTGGAACCCTCTCACCGTACTGCCAAGCCTTGTGCTTTGATCTGTTAGGCCCGCGCAAGGCCCTTCTCCAGTCTCACTTTCGCTTTTGAGGCCAAGACTGTTGTTCCTTTTGGTGCAAAATATTCGCCAAAACGCCTCCCAGGTCCTGCAAACACGAGACCACAGCAACTCAAGGGAAAACGGCATGGCGGGGGTTGACAAAACGGAAAGATCCGACAAAAACGCTGCGAATTTGGAGAATTTGGAGCGCTTACTAGTAACAAGGACGCTAGTAGCAAGGACGCTACTAGCAGCTAAGTGCATTACCACTTGCAACAAGAAGCTAATGGAAAAATAAGTTTTCCACTCTGCAATCTCTTGGAACCCAAAAGCGCCCGGTCTGCAAAGGCTTCTGCTGTTGGTTGATGCACACGACGATTTGATACCCACCAGCTGGTTACCCACCAGCAGGGTAACCAGACCTCCGCCCTCGCCGACGTGAAGACATCACAGAACATCACAAGCACATCTTTGGGTCCTGGATCTTCTCCACAAGCTTTGGGATGCCCAGGTCCGTCTGGCGTGGTCCGTGAACGGGGCGCTCACCAACCGACCGGTCCACGCCCACGGTGGAGGCCGGTGCACCGGTGGGCCTTGATGGCCACGGGGTGTCATCATAGCTCCTTAAAGGTATCCAGGGGTATCCATCAACCACCCGAAGTCCTGGGGGCCCTAGAACCGATGAAACGCCGCCTGAAACTACTCCGGTTGCTTTGAAGAAAAGGGCATCACAAGGGCATCTGACCCTCCAAAACTGGGGTAGAAGGACCCCGTCAACTGGATCCATTCAACGCGGAGACCGCACAAATACCATGGCTATGAGACAACACTAAGCTGACCCACTGGTTCAGTAAACCTGCAGTTAGCCTTGTTTTACTTAACCTGGGGGCAACGCAATCATCCAAATGTTCACACGTTGACCGGTTGACCAGTGAAGGGGAGCAAGAATTTGACTATGATTATTCTTCAATCATGATCAATCATGAGATCTGCCCAACCCATCTACCATTGACCATCAACATTGACATGGATTTTGCAAACCATGGTTTTATGTGCAAAAACGGCACGACTTTATTGAACGGAGGACGATGCTCTTCTGTGCAGCCTTCTGGTGCTAACTTTTTCTAGTGTTTGCTCTCTTTTTGCAGATCTGTGCACCCGAATGGTGTCCCGAATGGTGTCCCGAATGGTGTCCCGAATGGTG